GTATTAGAACAATTCCTGGGATGGTGTCTGCTTCAAATAAAGATTTGATATGACTCCATTTATACTTATAATAAATCCCCAAGTTAAACATGCATTAAGCAATTTACATAAAATCCAAACAAGCGGATAGAGAAGAATAAGAATGAACAGGGGACCAGTCACTACGTGTGGACACAGTGTTTCCATATCTGTCCCGTGTCCTGGGTGAGCTTTCTGAGTGGCTTCATGATAGTGATCCCCATTTACTGAGGTGCAGCAAAGATTTGCTTAGCAAACCCCGCATCTCCCTGCCCTCCTGCTTCCCCTGAATTTACTGAGCAAACACCTTTTAGGTCTTCACATGTGCTGGTCACTCTGGTCCTTGCTTCACTTTGGCCACAAATACAGACGAGATCGGCAATTGTGTTTTGCAGTTTACTGGAATGTTTTAAAATTGTACACAGATCTCAGCCACCGTTTGCCAGTGGGGACCGTGTTTGATACAATCTATCCATTCCACCTACCTACCTATCATCTATTCATATGTATAGAAATATATAGACAGATAAAATATGTCTCAGATTTGTTAGATATTTATGATAAAGCATCAAAGCATCCCAGAATATTGGAACTTTTGGTGAATTGAATGTCTTAACTAGTTTTTACAATTATTACATGAATACAAAATGTATTTGAAACTTGTAAATTCTTTCCAAATTGTCCCTGCATCATAACCACAGCTAAAGTCTTCCCAGAAAGAGGAGTTATTCTGTCCTTATTCTTGACTAGGGCTATCAAAATTTAACATTTAACATGTCAGAAGTTGAAAAGTTGGAAAGGTTTAATTTCTTTCGGAGAAAACGTGGAAGAAGCTATTATGGACTATTTCAGAAAGGCTGGATACATTTTGTGTCTATTGCCCTTGTTTTGTAGCTGTTTAAAAATTCCACTTTAAGTCACATTGACAAATTAATTTTTCCTGAATAGATTGACTGTGACCTTCTTAAGTGCACTGAAGTTCAATTCGTCTTTGATTCATCTTCAGCATATAACATAGAGACAGGCTGTGAGTGTCACGGTAGAGAAGGAAACAGTGAGGTGAAGTCAGAGGCATCTCAGTGTTTGATTTTCCTCCCTGCTTCTCAGTGTGTAGGAAAGATTAATTATGGCAGGCAGTGAAGCACATGATGTTTGCAAAACCAACTAAAGCTTTGTCTGATAAACAGCAGTGACCCTCCAAATTCTAGTTCTTCCTTGCTGAGATTTAATGAGCTTTAAAATGAGGGGAGCTATAAGGAGATGAGGTTGGAGGACCACATACTAGACAGGAAGGACATGGGATTCTTCGAAAAGCTCTGCGTAACCAGGGTTAAAATAAGAAATGTAGAATATAGTTATATATTTACCTGTGTATGTTTACATAAATATGTTTACATTATATATTTATATAAAACCAGAATATTTACACATAAACACGTAAATATAAAACCCAAAGTGTTTTTTTTTTAAGTGGGTCATATGCTTTATTTTGCAGACCTTCTGCCATTTTTATTTTGAAAATCAAATTCTTAAATGTATGAACAGGTACTGCATCTGGAGAATGGAAGTTAATGCATCTTATATAATAATAGTAGCAACCATCTTAGGTAGGTTGTGCAGAATAGTATAGATATTAACTCCTTAAGAGTATATGTGTTTATTTATCGGAAACTGTACTATTCTAAGCACCTTCGTTACATTTCCTCATTTTTCCCTCATCACACCTGAGCTCAAACATGATTTGTATTCTTTTTGATGTAGATTGGAGAAAGGAATGGCAGATAGAGAAAAAGATGGACCTACGGCTGGGGTCTCTGTGCTCCTTACTCATGTCCCTCAATGTCTAAAGGGTCAGTCGTGTGTGAGGACCCTTCCCTGCTCACGAGAATGTGAGGCTCGCTTCATGCAATCACAGAGCCTCACAGCATGGCCTGATCCTGTGGAAGGAGAAGTTTCAAACATCTGGTATAACGTCTTTTCCAAGTTACGCTTTAGTTACTTGCTACATCTTTCTTATATCAAATATACCCCTAAGTATTTTGAAGATGCCTATTTTCTTAAACCAGAGATGTTAATTCAATCCAGCCCTCTACGACAAACACTCTAGAAATGACTAGTTTGATTTGTCTTTCAATGAGTCACATTTGTGTTAGCAGAGGAGGGTGGCTCTGCAAATTTCCAGTACTTGTTGATAAATGACACTATCAGCAAAGTTTATGAATTTGAACCGTGACAACCTTACTATCAGTTACCAATTCTTTTGGCCTATAGTTGTGAATTCTTAGTTTCTTTTGTAAATTTGTTATATGTCATTTATATACTCAACTCCCCAGACCCACGGGACTTAGGTTAGCACAATCAGCATACACGAACGTGAGTACTCACTAAACACTCGTTACAAAGGGATGCATTACACTAACTCCAAAACTCTCCTTGGTGGCCTAGGTGAAACCTCATGGCCAACACCACCTGGATGGCCAACCACACTGGATGGTCGGATTTCATCCTGATGGGACTCTTCAGACAATCCAAACATCCGGCTCTACTGTGTGTGGTCATTTTTGTGGTTTTCCTGATGGCATTGTCTGGAAATGCTGTCCTGATCCTTCTGATACACTGTGACGCCCACCTCCACACCCCCATGTACTTTTTCATCAGTCAATTGTCTCTCATGGACGTGGTGTACATTTCTGTCACTGTGCCCAAGATGCTCCTGGACCAGGTCATGGGTGTGAATCAGATCTCAGCCCCTGAGTGTGGGATGCAGATGTTCCTCTATCTGACACTAGCAGGTTCAGAATGTTTCCTTCTAGCCGCCATGGCCTATGACCGCTACGTGGCCATCTGCCATCCTCTCCGTTACCCTGTCCTCATGACCCGTAGGGTGTGTCTCTTCCTGGCATCGGGCTGCTGGTTCCTGGGCTCAGTGGATGGCTTCATGCTCACTCCCATCACCATGACCTTTCCGTTCTGCAGATCCCCAGAGATTCATCATTTCTTCTGTGAAGTCCCTGCTATAATGGTCCTGTCCTGCTCAGACACCTCCCTCTATGAGACCCTCATGTACCTATGCTGTGTCCTCATGCTCCTCATCCCTGTGATGATCATTTCAAGCTCCTATTTACTCATCCTCCTCACCATCCACAGGATGAACTCAGCAGAGGGCCGGAAGAAGGCCTTTGCCACCTGCTCCTCCCACCTGACTGTGGTCATCCTCTTCTACGGGGCTGCCATCTACACCTACATGCTCCCCAGCTCCT